GCCACGCCTGGTCTCATTTCATCGCCCCTGCGTTCTATCACCGTTACAATTACTCCCGTAGATTCGTAGGTATTTATTGCGAGCCGCTCCGTCGTCGTCCCGTCATCCTCGGGTCGTGTACATGACCACCCAGCCCTCCCCTGTTATTTATGTTTAACATATTGTAAAGTTTTAATAAAGATCGTTTCTATAAACTGACGAGCGTTCATTGGATCCTCCGGTGTCTGACGTTGATCGTGCAAGATGTATTGGTGAAGAGGAGATTGTTTAGGTGTGAATGATTTTTAGGTTCTAGAAATAGCGGATCGCAGAGGCTTTTGGGGACTGGAGGTTTAGAGAGGAAGAAAGTTCCTCGCTAAATTGTTTCCAGGCGAAAGGAGGGCAGACTGGAGATTGACGGATCGAACGTTGCGTGATGCACCAGTTTTCCTTTCAAGGATTCGAGTTAGGATTCACGCGTCGGATACTTCGGCTGCCTGCGATGGAAATTGCACGCGACGATTGTAATTACCAGGCGCGATGCATCGCTTAATTAGTGTTACGAAACAAGGTCGTCCCCTTCACGGCGCCGCGTCTTAGGCTTTACTCCGCGCCGATCTTCGATGCACGCGTGGTCGTCTTGTGATAGGAGCTGTTGAACGCGTGAAAACATTACACTGAATAACAATAGTTCGCTGTTCTGTTAACGAAGTCTCTTTTTTCCGATTGACGGACAGTCTGTAGTGTGTTTGATGTTTCCCATGTAGTTTCTATATTATTCCAAATATATTACAATTTAATTAATTATGTTTATTGAAGTTAAGCATTGTCTTCGATATCCTCATACAATGTATAAGCAATAAACAAAATTATTGTTTATCACAAATTTCTTCATCTCAGATTTACTGCAATATAAAAAGTTCAGACTTTGAGATTTTTTTACAGAAGAACTACTGAAGATATTTAGTTCAAACTCAGTAGACACATTCATACATACTCCAGGAAGAAATACAATTTTTTTGAAGCGAAAATCTCGATTGAGTCAGAAGTTACAAACGTTTCATGCGTTGCCTCGGAATTCATCTCAGGGCCAGGTACAAGGCTCTAAATCGTTAGAGAACTAACGATTGTTCGAGCCAACAGATTCAGGTCGCTACGTTAATAGTATCCAGGTTAACAGTACCATTGACAACATGTTTCTCATCGTCCCATTAGTTTTCGGGGTTGCTGAAACGCCGATCGATCGCGCGCGCGTTCCGTTCGGCGAGCAAAACAATTATCTCCCGATAATGAGCAGAACCGTATTCTCAGGGTTGAGATGTTGCCCCGGAAATCTGGAAACGCAGCATCCTGTTCAGTTCCCGTGTCACTCGGGCGACGGGAACGAACCCGAGGCCCAGACTTGTCATTAAGTTGTTTGCCAGCTCCGTGGTAAATGACAATCGTGACGGTCCTCCGGAAAAATCGCAAGAGTGACATAAATCTCGTTGTATATAAATGAATTACGAGCCGATGGGCATCAGTCTTTCGTATCCGGTAGCTTCGCTGTTAATCCTGTCGTTGTCAGTCGTTGTGAATTGACGATCACCCCGTGGACTGTCAAAATAGTGCGTGAACTTATGTTCGTCGTGTTCGTGCTGCTGCTGAGCGCCGTCCGTAGCCATGGGAACGATGGGACCACGGAAGTTAACAATTACAAGAACGTGGATCCGTATCAGTTCATCGGAAACACCGCTCGACAATAGTACCGTGCATTTGTTACGGATTAAGTCTCGTCTAACACTAGGTTTATGGGTGTTTATTGTACAGTTTATCCTATTGTTCCTGGGGAAGTTGATATTCGTTCATTTAGATTTTGGAAATTGTAGATGTAGAAATAATTGTGTAATTGGATCAATGGAAACCGATTGAAACATTTACCAAATAATGTTTATAAAATTCAATCTGCGTCAAATTTCCGTAAACCTAGTGTTAACCAGTTAACTGTGGAATTTAGTTGGAAAAACCTCTCGTTCTGCGCGCAATAAAATAAAAAAATGAAGCGTGTACTCATCCAACGCAGGATTCCTTTAACCCTTTGCACTCGAGAGGCTCCCAGGCGCGAGATGATTTGATACAGTGAAATTATAAACTTTTGTCTTTACCATTTAACTTTTTTTACTGCATCAATACGTGAAATATTGAAAGGAAACAGCTTTGTTCCCTAATTTATGTACGATTTCTTGATGAATTCATTTTAAAGAATCTAGTCTACATCTAATTGGAAAGTATAGAATATTTTAAGTGAAAAACTTCCGAGTGCAAAGGGTTAACATATCAAATTTAAAAGCGTTATTCTATGCACTGTAAAAGAAAGTTTGCATCAGCGTTTCGATTCCTCGTAAATTATTCTATAAATTTTCCAATTATTTACGAATGTTCATAAAGCACTGGCAGACGAATCTTCGACTACCGGAAGAGCGGATTTCGCGTGGACGTTCGAGTAGTACCCACGCCGAAGGATGATCCCTCGAAAAAGAACAGCAGCGACGATTTCCCAGAGTTCCCCGTGAAAGACTTGGGTCGTTGCATTATCAATTTCTCGTTGGTGTGCGCGAAGAAACGTTTCGGCCGATTCTTGGAGACGGTCGGCAGCTTGAACGAGATATATCTGATGGGGCAAGACGTCAAGCTAGTGAAAACGAGAGTGACCAACGATCGGACGTCGAGGAACGATCCCAACGAGATCATCGAGCGAAGTGTGAACGATTTCTTCGACACGTTCGCCTTGAGGATCACGTTGCCGAGATGGAACGGCAAACGCGAGAAGAATCAGATCGATCTTATGCTCGACGACACTGCTCTGTCCGAAGGTTGGTGTAACGAATAAAATATGAATATTGAACAGTTAATTAGACGAGGTGGGACGAGCATTGAAAATTGGGAGTAATAGGATTCTGCGTTACAGGACGAGGCAAAGGAGGAGGAGGCGGAGGAGGCGGCAAAGGTGGCGGTGGGAAGTGCAAGATGATGATGATGGCTGGTTTAATGATGCTTAAAATGAAAATATTCGGTATAATGTTTGATAGTTTTAGTTGAGATCTCTATTACGTCGTTCTGATGGATGTGTTTTAATTGATAGTTAATGATAATTGATGTTTAAACGATAGGCATAGCAACGATGAAGGGAATGATGATGGCAGGCATGTCTCTGATGATCTCGATGGCTATGCTAATGCACAAGTACATGAAGGGAGGAGGTCATCATGGTGGTGGTGGCGGAGGTAGGAATAAATCAATTAAGAAACAAATTTCACCCGATTAAATTAAACCCTATCAAACTACTCTTCATTTCTTTCAAACCTCCAAACTTCTTACTAACAATACAAAACCACACTTCTTTTTAATATTCACTTCGCTAAATAGATTCATTGTATCATTAAAGGTCTTTCTTAAATTACCAAATCAATCCATCGCATTGAGACATGGTTTACATTTCTTACAATCGTATTATAGGTTCAAGTTTCACTTAACACCTGATTAACGAGCGAGTTTTGTTTCGACATTTCTCAGGCCAGTACAAAGAAATCGTTCTTCTCACGAAGTCCGGTAGCAGCGGCGGCGGCGGCGGCGGAGGCTACGGCGGCGGAGGTTACGGCGGCGGAGGCTACGGTGGCGGAGACAGCTACGGCGCGCCACCGCCGACCAGCTATGGTCCACCGTCCGGCGGCGGCGGTTACGGCGGTGGCGGCGGCGGTTACGGCGGCAGCGGTTGGGGCCGCAGCTTCGGTAGACGGTACATAACCGCAGATTACGAGAAAACAAATGAGTCTGTTGATTCAACTAACTCGCCTCTGGTAATGGAGAAGTCCTCCGACGCAGCCACTGACAATCACCTCGACGACGATAACTCCTCGACGAATTCTAACTCTGCCAATTGGAATTCCAGTTACCATGTCGAACAGACACATAAATATTTGAACAATGACTCGAGAAACAGCACCGAACAAAGCAATCTTCGTTCAAGTAACTTCGATATCGATGTTTCGCATGGAAATGGAGCTGATCGAGGTTATATAGATGATAAAAATCGTATTGATTCTATGAATTATGCTCCGAAGAGTTACGAGAGTGATCTGAGGCCTGTTTATGAGTGGCAAGCTACAGAAGTGGGTTCGTCGAATTTGAGGAGGGACGATGGTCGTTTGGATAAAGAATCTCTGCAGAAATTGAAGACGATCTAGGGAGCTTCCTATTGTAACGATTGAATATAAATTTGGAATTCAAGTAGAAATCGACTCGAATTTTCTTCTACCCTTATCCCTTTGAGTATCTGTAGGTTTATCGAGTTAAGAATATTAGCCCTTTGCACCGAAGTTTTTCACTAGAAGTATTTCAACACTTTCTGATGAAGACGATATTTTGTAAAACCAACTCGAATTCACGCGAATTGACGGACAAAGCTATGTTACGTCAATATTTCTCAGATCGATGCATTGTATGAAGTATAATATTAAATATCAAACTTTATAGCTTCACCGTAGGAAAACAAGTTAGCTTTTCTATCTGTAAATGACAGAAATCGTTAATTGATATCCATAAATCCACGCGACCAGCGATTACGAGTAAACGAGTGAGGCTGTAGTATGCGTGGATTCCTGAAAGTAAGATAAACCGCGAATACAAGTATTTAAATGAGCGAGAGACGCGTATTTTAATGAAATTAGCGAAATATGACACTTAACGAGATCGTCAGCCTAC